AAAATGATGCATCATTTATAAGTAATATAAATAATTAAAATAAATAATGTATAACAAGCTTTTTTTTGTAATGGTGGTGTACTAGTAGTTTGCACTTGTGGAAGAGTTGCCTGGATTAAGTCATGGATTGATTCCCTGCAAATGCGGAATTATCTAACCATTTCTATTTGGCTAGTCGAAAATGGTGTCACACGTTAGGGCGCCCATTAGAAAACCTGATGAGTGGGCTAATCGACGATATCACTCAGAGGATTAAAATTTGTTGTTGTCATCACATTTTCCTTTTTTCCTGTTTGTGATGATTTTAATTTAATTTGTTAAGCATGTTGTGTGGTGGTGGCGGCGATCACAACGCTCACAGTAGCAGTGACATCGACAGGACAAAGATAAGCCACATTAGTTGAAATATGTTTGTACGTAATACAAAAGTACTTAAACATACAATCGAATGAATATATGTGCAAAATACTTAATTAGTTAGATTTAAAACTATAAGATTTGGATATTGGTATTTTAACTAAAAATCCTTTTAAAAATTTTAGAGTCATGAAAAAATAGTCCTTAAATATTTCCAAAATCATATATATTAAAAGCGAAGTAAATTTTTAGTTTTAAGGCCTCTCATCTAATTTTATAGTGGTTAATTACTTTTTACCCCTTATTAAAATTTGGTTAATATCCTAATTAATGGTTTAAATTAAGTTTAACATGGTTTACATAAAAAACGCCAAACCCGGTTTCAATTTATAATTTGTAGTGTAGTTTAATATTGGTTTTAATACATAGAATACTTAATTGGGTCTATAATCCATTTGACATATAGCTACTGTTTTAATGGAAAAAAAAGATAACCTACAAACTAACTTGACCTAGATCTTTAGACTACTATACATTTATATCAACCTGCCTTTCTAAATCTTTCATAGTTTTTGCTGGTTCTTAATGTTTGTCGTTTGTTATTTAGTTTAGGTCTATGTTATTTTCTTAACCACATATTTGTTTTGTTTGTTTATATCTTTGCGTTCGTCTTTGTTTTTTTTAGTTTGTTATCTTCTGTTGTTACATGGTTTTGAGTTCCGTGGTTGTTGTGTAACTAACTCTGTGGTTTTGTATCCGTTACAGGAATTGTGTTCATTGCTGTCTATACAGACGAGTTTGCAAGGCTGAGTTTAAGTGCTTTGGTTTTCTTACATCTTATTCAGGTGATTCCCTTAGCCTTGGATTTAAATGTTATTGTTTATTTTATTCACTTAAGGTTATCTTTTAATCTATCAGTCGATTGTCCTTTTTCTATTTTCGAAAAGACAGTCCGAGGAAGCTTCATAGCAAAGGCATGGGTCTGTTCAGAAACAAGGTGCCGTTGCGGTGGAGGCTGCCGAGGATTACGCTTACAGGTTTGAACCTGGTGTCAATGAGGTACCTTTTTATACCTAAAGACCATCATAAATACAAGATCAAAAGGCACCAAATGCACATGTTGACTCGTAAGAAGAATATTTTATGATGATCAACATACCAAATTTTATTTTTCTCATTGGATTCAGTTTCCTTTTTATCTTTTTCGTTTTGAATTCAGTATTTGTGGTGATGGCTCTGGTTTGCCGTAAATGGGTTTTGGTCATCATTTGTTTCTGATTACACAATCCCATCAATCCTTTGTTATACTTTCACTTCATTAGCTATGAGATGGATCTATTCTAGAAATTTGATTTTGATCTATTCTGTTTTAAATTGTTAATAATCATGTTCCTTGGTAGGCATGAGTATTTGAATTGATTGAAAAAAGCTGTAAAGCTTGCGACTTTGGATCAATAATTGACCTCTATGTGCTCAGTTTCTCTTCGAGATTTTGAGTCACTTTTCCTAATCTCTTAGGATTCTTGTGAGCCATTTGAAGCAGTTACACTTCTCTTTAAATCATTTGTTTCTTAAAATGTAACACAACTTGGGGCTTGAAATATATTAATTCATACTTCATAAGGTTTGTTTCCGTTGGTCAATATCAAGAGTCTCTCTTTGTTTGTTCCTTGGAGACAAACGTTAGGAGTGTGAAATGTAATTCCAAAACTAAATGGTTCCAAAGCGGATATGATTCTTGAACCCGGTAAAAAGATTACCTCTACTTCAACTCTTGCCTCATGTAAATTTAAAATGATCTTAATATACACTTATCTGATCATAAATCTTACTGTGTCTGTGTCCAAATGTTTTGCTTAATGTGTTTTCCTGACCTTGACCTCCACTTTAAAATGCGTTCGTTCACAGTTTTGAATGAGTTCTTCTGTGTTTTGCATCTGGTGTGATTTATTTTTGCTCAAAATGCAGATTAAACGAGGAAATAAAGGGTGTCGAGAATCTGCGGTTGTATACTTAACATGGTTTTAATTTTGTGTGTCCGCCATTTTTGTGTCTTATTGTTAATCACAAAGACATACCACATCTCAAAGCTTTCTTGATTGTGGTTTAGTCGTACTTTGTTGAACAATCCTTGATAAATATGCAGAAAGCACGTGTAGAAAAATGTGGATATTCTTGATAAATCAACATGCAGCAAGTGTGGTCATAGAGGCTATAATATTAAAAGGAGAGGTAAAAAAAGGGAAGTAAGGAGATTTTGAGAACTGATGTATTACGAGTGATGAGGTTTTTCTGAAGAAATTCGTTGGGGGATTTTTTTACTTTTGCAGACATGTGACTTATTCTTTTAACAGAAAAGTTGAAAAGCCAATTTATATGGAGACAAAGATCAAAGAAGAGTCTATTACAGATGGGAAGTTGGGATCTAAGAAAATGATAATGAGTTATGCGAAATTTGCTGTTGTCAAACCCTTGAAAAAAGGTGGGAACTACAGATGATAACGATTTGTTCCTTCAATCAATTTTTTTTTTGTTTTAATATTGTTTTAAAGTTCTGAGCATTGATATTTTGAAGAGGTTTTTTATTTTAAAGAAATGTTAATAATTTCGATATGATATGTTACCCAAATTTGTTTTTTTTTTTTCCTTAGATTTGAGACTCAAATCAGTTTATTGTGTGTCAATTGTGTGTCAAAGAAGTGATTAAAATGTTATTTAGAAATATAATAATAATACATATGAATCTAATTCATTTTTCTTTAATGTCGCTTTGGAGAAAATGGAATAGTTTTGTAGTGGGTGTTTATATAAATGGTTCAATTTCTATTAGTGACTCTTAATTTGTGAAACTAGCATTACATATTAAAATAGCTCGTGCATTAGTTTTTCCAATTAAATGTCTTATTAAACAAACAAAAAATAGCAATTACAATTTCATTTGAAACATGTTAACTGGTGAAACCTAAAACATGAAATCTCCAAATTTATGGTGGTGCAGAATCTGAGATTAAAAATATTTGGGTCACGAGTATGCTTAAATCTCGACAAAAAAAGAAAAGAGTATGCTTAAATCAGGCAGTGAAGTCTATGTTTCTGCCGCTTAAAACCTTCACTAAAACATCGGAAAAAAAAAAGAATCAGTTACAAATTAGAAAGATGATTTCAGGTATGGCTAAATTGTTGAAAACAAAAATCTTAACATGGTATCAAAACTACGAAAAGAATTATTTATCTACGTTTGATATCATGTTTTTCGCTTATATTTGTGAGAAAGACAAGACTCGACAAGAAAGAGAGACGAAAGCTACTAAATGGTTTGTTTACCTAAGCTCTAATATCACATGAGAAAATGGTAATGATCCTCAAAGCATATTGATGTATGATCAAAGAAATTTCAGAGATATTGAATTTGATAATTTAAAACTGGTTCCAAGTCTTGCTTGAAATGTTTGAGGAAAATGTACAGTAAAATAGTTGTTAAAGCGATGAATATATTTTGACGGCGAAAAAATGTGTGTTTGATATGAAGAATGAGAAATACAAGAAGGCAAAGATGTTTGGAGGTAAACTAAGAAAACAAAAGAGAGAAGGAGAAATTGAAGGAGACAAAGCTCAACCTATCTATTGCGAAATTATATTTTATGAAGGAGAACATGTTGGAGATTTTCGAGAAAGAATGAAGGGAGATTTAAATTAGGTGTTTAGAGAGAGAGAGAAAAAGAAGAGAGAAAGTTAAATCTTCTGGGACATGCAATTGATTAATATTTTATCATCATTTATTTGTATATCTTATGTTTTTTTTTTATTTCTGTTTAACATGGTTAAACAAAAATGTTAAAACTTTCAAATACATGTTAAGTGTACATAAGAAAGAAAGAGAGAGAGAGCGCGCGAGAGAGAGAAAGTGAGATAGAGTGATTGATCGACATTCTATCACTATTATTTCATCACTTCTGTGTTTTTAATTTCGGTTTATTCTGATTATAAATGTAGTTTTTTACTTTATCAGTTTTATGTTGTTGTTTTTAAGGTAATGTTTCATAATATATGTTCGTTAATAAATTTAATCATTTAATTAATATGATCATTTTATGAAACATTTACGCCTCCGCAAGGTGCGGGCTAAACACCTAGTAACAATGTATTTGAAAATGTATATTTAGAAAATCATTATCAAAAAGTATATTTGAAAATGAAGTAAGAAAACAGTACATTTCAAAATAATGTTTTTGAACAATTCAACATTAGTACTATAAGATTTAAAAGACATTTAAAAATCATAACCAATAACAATAAATTTAGAGTTTTTTTAAAAAAAATTCAAGATTGAATAACATAGACGTTATCATTTAAAACAAATTTATACCTTATTGTTTCATTCAAGATTTGTATTGAAGACTAGATTCTGCATTCCCTGTGCATACTTATCAACATATATAGCCCACTCGAAATAATTCGCCAAAACTAACTGCTACAGGGAGAAAGAGAGAAATAAGAGGAGAGAGAGAGAGAGAGCCCTAAATTTAAAAGAAAAGCTTAGCTAAATTTCAGGAGCTCCAAAAATGGAATTGCGTCGTTGTTCATCATTTTCTTCTATGATCATTTTCTCCATTCAGGTGAAACAAAACCCATTTTCTCCCAAAAAGCTTAAACATTTTCTGTTTCGTTTTGCCTCAAGAACTCTTCTTCTTCTTCTTTCTCAGGTTCCCAATTCCCTAAATTTGGGAACCTGAAAATCGCTTCCTCAGCTTCATGATCAATTCTCTAGGTCAAAAAACCCTTAGAATCTTTTTTTCTTGCAACTCACGGCACATAACCTAATATATACGTCTATTCCGTCAGAATGGGTCTCAAGCTCTCAAGAGGGCCTGGAAAAGAGAAATCAACTCTGGAAATAACGAGGGGCCACATTCTGACTTACCTAACCACAAGCTCTTACCTACGTAGCTTGGTGTCCAAGAAACGAAGACGGCTAATCATTGGTGGATATGATCTCGACATGTCTTACATCTCAGACAGATTGTTGGCTATGTCGTTTCCCGCTGAACGGATGAGAGCTGTTTATAGAAACCCTCTTTGGCAAGTCAAGTCCGTGCTCGATATGCGACATCCTGATCACTACAAGGTCAAGAAGAGATGCAATTGATCAAATCAAAACATTTAAACCAATCCATTTTCTAAATACATTTCTTGCAAACTTTTGTTTAGGTCTATAATCTATGCATAGAGGAATCTTATGATCCAGACAACTTTTATGGCCGCGTGGAGAGATTTCCATTTGATGACAACCATGTCCCATCTCTTAAAATGATCCAACTTTTCTGCCAAAGTGTTCACTCTTGGCTCTCGTTAGATCCCAAGAACATCGCGGTTGTTCATTGCATGGTATATAACGACAAAACCGAAACCAAGTTTCTTCCACAGTTTTGGTTTCATTAGATTCTAATGTACGTATGTTGCAGGCAGGAAAAGGTAGAACAGGGTTAATGGTATCGGCGTACCTTGTTTATGGAGGAATGTCAGCTGAAGAAGCTCTTGAGATGTATGCAAGCAGAAGAACCACAAACAATAATGGAGTAAGTCCTCACTTTAGTTACGAATAGGCAAAAAAACCAACCCTACGTTAAATCGCTCTTTGATTCATACCTTGACAGGTCTCAATACCAAGCCAACGTCGTTATGTGAAATATTGGTCAAATTTACTCTCTTTTCGTAAAGGAATCGGAAACGGACCTCCAGAGGTTAGATTACCTCAAGAACATAGCAGAGAGTTGCTGAGAATTAGACTTTACGACACAGCCAACGTTGATTCCGTCTTCTTTGTGGTCTCAGAACTTCAGGAGGTAATGATATAATACGCGTTGTTGCATCGCAGACTCTGTTTCTGCTTGATTCATTCACTTGGATGCATCGCAGACTCTGTTTCTGCTTGTTATATAGACTCTGATGCATTGGAAACTCTGTTTCTGATTGACATATACATTTTGATGCCTCGCAAACTCTGTTTCCTCTTGTTATATGGATTCTGATGCATTGTAGACTTTGTTTCTGCTTGACATTAAATTTTGATGCATTGTAGACTCTGTTTCTGCTTGACATATACATTTTGATGCATCTGTGGACTCTGTTTCTGCTTGACATATACAATTTGATGTATTGTAGACTGTTTCTGCTTGACATATACATTTTGATGCAACTTTGGACTCTGTTTCTGCTTGATATATACATTTTGATGCAGTGTAGACTCTGTTTCTGCTTGACAGATACATTTTGATGCATTGTAGACTCTGTTTCTGCTTGATATACACATTTTGATGCATTGTAGACTCTGTTTCTGCTTGATATTATGTATTGGATAAATAAACTGGAACTCTCTAGACCTTAGTAAGGTGCATTCACTTTGATGCATTGTAGACTCGGTTTCGGCTTAGTATTATATATGGTTTGATGCAAGGAAGACTCTGTTTGTGATGTTAGGTTCCGAATGAGATCTATCGACCATCTGTAGAACTTGCAAGAGGTTGCTGTAGACAGTTCAGGAGAGGGTATTGTAGAAGCTCGAGTCCACGGTATTATATATCACATGTGAATGATTCAGAAGAAGATGAGGTGCTAACAGATGGAGAAGAGCCGCGCTTTGTTGTTCAAATGGATACAGAGAGTTCCATTATCGACGAGAAAACATGTCTTGATTTCTACTTTGACAAACCTGTGAAAGTAAGTCACAAAAAACAAAATGTTTCAGACAATGTTAGATAAGATTGTCTGATTAAAAAAGCATGTGATTCTTTGAAAGGTGAGTGGAGACATACGCATCACATTCTACCAGAAAATGATTGGAAGCCGTCTCTTTTATACTTGCTTCAACACAGCTTTTATAACCAACGGCTTGCTTCAGGTAAAAATTTCTCTAAGCTGCTATATATTCTCCTTGACATGCTTATCAATAGCCATTTTTGCTCCTGCAGTTTTCCATAAGGGAGCTGGATAAAGTTGGTGGTAATGGAAGATCAATATCTGGTCCTGATTTTAGCTTGGAGCTGCTTTTTGGTCCAGCTATTACCAAATCCGGAAAGCTTGTTTCCCGCAGTGACCTTTCAATCTCTTGAAGCCTCCGTCTCAGCTCTTTTAAAATCGAATCGTTAAAGCTCATATCATATGATTATGAGTCTTTTAACAGTTCTGTTTCAGAAGAGCAGCCACCAGAAGGGTTCTGAATAGCTCAAGCTGATCCTGCAAACACTTTAGTGGCTGATTCCATATACAAATGCAGAGGCACATGAGAAATCTTAGCAGCAAACGAATGCTTTCTCAACAATGTTTTTTTTGAAGCAGGGACTGCAATTTTGGTAAATGGTAGACGTAATGTGATCTTTGGGGTTCTCTCGCCATCCATTTTTTCACTAGGATGGTCTATTTCCAGTTTAAGTTTACATCTCTGTATCAAAAGTCAAGGAAACGGTTTTATTACTATCGGAAAAAAAAAAAAAAAACTTAACATTAAGCTTTCATCGTGTCTGTGTGAAGCTCAAACACAAGCAACTTATATGGAGAAACATAACTTAAAAACAGAAAAGAAAAGCATGAGAAGAGATGTCTTTTTAGCCTTGTGTCTTGATCTTTGAAATCACCTCAAAGGATATGCCATTGTCTTCAAGTCGCTGCTGAATATCGGTTGAACCAAACACAATACCAGGTGTGTAGACTCCTCCTTTAACTAGGCTCTCGCGCTGGCCCAAGACTATCAAACCGCATTGAACAAGTGTTATCGGTGTGGTTATATAACCAATCTCAGGTCCTGAAATTCTAGTAATAATCTCCATGTCAGGCTTGGTCTTTCCTTCTGAAACGAGACTCTCTTCGCTGTAGCCACGGCCTATGAACCACATCTTAAACGTAGCGCTTTCTATCTCTTCCTCACTTGGACCCTTCTTCTGGAACCAACCAAGGCTAAAAACCGAAGGGAATTTCAAAAGAAGCCACCTTCCAAAGGAGAACTTGGAAAGTAGACCAAGGGACACACCGAGAGTAACATATCGGAATATCCCAAAGAGAGATTTGGATGTTATCTTTACACCGAAATGAGCTGGCTTGATCGTTGACCAGAATAATTCTCTCTTTTGTATCTGTTCAGGGCTCTCGTTAAGACCAGGAAGCCCATGTGGTTTCTCTGTTAGAGTTGTGAGAGTTCTACGAACAACTACTGCATCAGCAGAAGGTAGCTTTAAAGCCCAAAGACCAATCTTCTTCTGGTTTTCTAGTGTTGGTCCTTTAGCTGGTGGACCTCGAATCTGCAAATACATTTCAAAAGTTCAATATTAGCCAAAGCCTAATTACCAAGAATGTACAAATGGAAACTTTACTAGATGCTAAGTGGATAATATCTCAAACTCAATGTCACATTATGTTATATGCATACTTACCGATGGCCTTGGCTTTCTTGGTCTTGAGCGTCTCAGTTCTTTGAGCTTTTCTGCATTGGCTACACCTAAAACCGCAGACTCGTAAGTCCCGAAGTTTCCGGCGATTTTTTTGTTAGACTCCAAGCTGAGGTATGCTTCGATCTGGTTAGGAACCAATGGAGGCACCCATTGTTTGGAGTTGAAGAGAAGTCCCAACTCAGCAGGTATTGAATCGAAACCACAAGCTGATACGATTAAAGAGCCGGTCTCTTCTGCTCTTTCGTGGTAGTTAGCTTCCATTCTCTCCATGAACTCAGGTTCACCACTTATATCCAAATAATCGCACCTATAAGAAACCACGTAGCAAGCAAACCAAAACATAACAAGATTACACTTTTTTCATCAATGCTACAACTTTAATCATTCCTTAAGTTTTATCTCTTAAACAAGTGAAGATAATCACTCTATAAAAATAATATCGCAAACGTAACTTAACAGGATTAGACTGATTTCATTAAGCATTAAATGGATTTTCGAACGTCTTCAAGCTTCAACTTTAATCATTCCATAAATTTGATAACAAAAGGCATTCTTCAGTATTTCTCTTACGTCTTAACGAATCATTTCATTTGCTCCTATAGAAAATGGAGCTTAACAGGATTACTCTGTCTTCATCAAGTTCTAACTTCTTCAAGCTACAAGCTAAATCTTTTCTTTAAAGTTGATAATAGGAAAGCTTTTTCTTGAGTATTTTCTCCTGAAGAAGTGAACATAATCTTATCATTTGTCAAGGACTCGAGATAACAAAACCTAAAAATTTGATCTTAGTTACCACAAATTTCGACAATCATTTCAAACTAATTTTGCATCAACCCATAAACACAAAGTTCCAATTTTTTAGTTCACACTGTAACACAACAGCTAAAACAGAGTAAGAAGACAATTTTACCCTGAATCGGCACAAGCGGCGACGACGGGATCGCCATGGATACGAAACGGTCCAACACAGTTGAGGATGAGTTTGGTCTGACTACAGAGACGGCGAAGTGAATCCGGGTCGGATGTATCAGCAGTGAGGATAGCGACAGAGGAAGGAGGCGGGTTCGGGCGGGCGGCCCATTCGAGAGATTGGGTTAACCGGGTCGGGTTACGACCCGCTAAAGCTAGTGACTTTAACGGAGAAGACGGAGTTTGGAGGAACTTGAGAGCTTCTCTAACGACGTATTTGCCGGTGAATCCAGATGCTCCGAGTATGACGATATCGTAAACCTGGCCGGGTTGTTGGGTTGGGTTCATCTTGTGATCGGATTCGGAGACGGAGATACTTTTGGCTTGGAGAGAGATATTTCTGCGAGATAGTTTTTATGGAGATTTGTGTCCACCGACAACGACAACCAGTAGGAAGATATTACTATAACTACGCGTTGTTTCACATTTAGCACACGAAAGATAAACGTCATGCAGTGCGACTGTTGGACAAAAGATTTTGTCGTTTGTGGCGATGAAATGGTTGAGACTTCATCAAATTTTGCCACGTATGTCATGGCATGGAAGGTTAGTGACGATCCTTGACAAGTCTACCTATAAAATATTCGTTTACCACGATTTTGTCACGTATTTCGATTTCCAAGTACGTGACAAATTTGTCGTAACATTGCATGCTATAAATTGTTTTCTCGCAAATTTGTGGATTTCGTGACAATGACAAATTTCTCTATCATTTTTTCTGTACTCTCCGAAGTTATCCAAAAAAAATGTTAGAAAAATTGTTATAGCATGTTTAATGGGAGAGACCTTCATGGATCTCTTATCATTCTTTTATTATTAAGTTGGGTTTAAAGATCTATGTTAAAAACTCTCATTTTAAGGTGTTCAATGGTAGAAATTTAGTTGTGTTCTTAAAAACAAAAAAATACAGCGCACGAAGAGAAGAAAAGGAAAAAAAAAAATACAAAGCTTTGTCTTCTAATTTTTTTGTCCATTCACACGGCACCACATGTAATAAGAAATGTTTCTTATATTTGATTAAGAGATGTCTCTGACAAATTTATTCCTTTTTAATTTAATTAAATTCATTAAAAATTAAAAAACGCCTAAAAAAATGCCGTTGCACATGCTCTTAAAGCTGTAAGACTATACCACAGATTTTTAAAGAAAATACACGAATCTTGTAAACTACTATTTGCTCTTTATTTGCAAAGGATATCAGCAAATAGAAGGGCATGGACGGGAACTTTCAGCCCAAATTTGTCACCAAAGACACTTGGCAACAAATTCGAACAGTCAAACAGAGGGTGGAATGGTACAGAGGTGTTTGGTTCTCACAAGCTACACCAAAACACTCTTTTATGGTCTGGCTAACTGTTCAGGACAGATTAGCAACTGGAGAGAGAATGCAGAAATGGAACTTGAACGTGGATACCACCTGCGTATACTGCAAGAATGCTTTGGAGACTAGAGACCATTTGTTTTTCACTTGTTCTGAAACGAAACAGGTGTGGGAGCTGCTGGTAAGGCGACTGCTTGGGCCTCAGTATATGCACAGTTGGGGGCAATTGGTGACTCTGCTTGCTCATCTTCCCAAAACCACAACAGCTTTCTTGGTAAAATACACTTTCCATATCGCGGTTTATTCACTCTGGAGGGAGCGTAATGACAGACGACATGGCGAAAAACCCTCTACGGTTGTACGACTAGTTAAGATGATGGATAAGCAAATCCGGAATCAGCTTAGCTCCATTCGAAATTGTGGAACCATGAAGTACGCGGACGGGCTGGAGATTTGGTTTTCAACGAGATAAATTTAGAAGCTTAACAATCTTTTGATTCAAAAATGTTCTAAAAAACGCTTGTAAAACGTATGTTTTTTCTTTTGAATATAATTTAACATTAGATTCAAAAAAAAAAAGAAATCACATAGACAATCTTTGCAGATCTGTCTAATCAGTTTTACACGATCTTACCATGCAATTCAACACTGACCAATTCCTAATCTATCCAAGCTAACACAACAACTTGTGCAATTAGAATACAATCGCTCACCAAGAACCCTAAACTCTTTCTTAGATTTCTTGTGATAACTCTCTCTTCTTTTGCTCAGAACGGCCAAATCTTCTAAGCTTTCATCATCCGGAATATATACCACATCTCCACGTGAGCATGTGTATATTTTCTTTTCCTTTCTTGTTGAGATTCTGATCTACTTTTCTTATTTCATAAAATCTTCCCGCTTGCCTTGCACTTGTGGTGCCATGTCAGCTTTCTCCTTTGAATCCTACACGTCACTTGCAGACTCCTCAAGCTTCCCGCTCTTCTATGTGTCACACACATTGCCTTGGTGAGTCCCGAACTCTTACATTCTCCCCCATTTTTTCTGAATATGATGCTCCAAGTTACCTGAAACAATTGACACACACCAGCACCCAAATACGCATACGGCAGATATCAACATATAAATGAATATCACTGGTGAATGCTTAGGATTAATGATTAACCAAAACACAGTAACACATTGTTCGAGAAGCCATAAAAGCTGACACAAAAACTGACACAACCAGTCTTAACGACACATAGTCTAACATACGGGAATCCTAAACACACTCAGAAAGGCACTCGTAACACATCTAGTTTCCTGTCCATTCGTTCTCATCCTCAAGATCTTCTCCTTGTTCCTCCTCAGCTGATCCATCATCAACCTGCTCCCCCTCAACTGATCCACCTCGATCCTCGTTTGTTGGTTTCCTCAGCTCAGCATATTCTCCCCTTGCTTGAGCACATATTCAGATAAAACAAATCGCATAATCATGAGGAATCCAGATAGAGAGATTTACCTTGAACATGAAGTTGAACCCGTTTGAGCCACGTAGCTAGTTGTTCCAGATCAGCAGCCAGTGACGGAGCCGTTTGAGGTT